ATTTTCTTACATTGTGCATCGATATGATCTTTCCATTTCAATTCTTTTTCAATTTTTACACCCAAGATTTTTTTGTCCTGAACTCGTTCCACACTATGGTTTCCAACGACCATGTTCGGATTACGAGATAGATTATTTAATTTCTGGCGTGATCCAATAATCATGTATTCAGTTTTCTCTTTGTTTAGTGTAAGTTTGTTGCATGTTAGCCACGTTTGAACATTATTAAGATCGTTATTTAGTTTTTGCTCAATTTGTTCTGATGAAACACCTTCACATGCCAAGTTTGTGTCATCCGCAAACATCGAGGCATGCGTTGTTTCAAGGCAATTGGGTAGGTTATTGATATAAATTAAGAACAATAATGGTCCAAGATTTGATTCTTGAGGGACACCACAATGTAGCGTTTGGGTATTAGATGAAGAGCCTGCAATTTTACAGATTTGTTGTCGCTGTTGAAGATAGGTTTGAAACCATTGGAATGCAATCCCACCTACTCCATAGCGTTTAAGTTTTAAAAGAAGAATTTTATGGTCGACTGTGTCGAAGGCCTTTTTTAAATCCAGAAACAAAACTCCATTAATTAAGCCCTTATCCATATTAAAAAGCCATTCGTCAGTTGACTGAAGCAGTGTCGTTTCGGTTGAATGCAGTGGCCGACAGCCGGACTGGTGTTTAGAAATAATGTTATTGTCGTCTAAGAATTTCGTGAGTTGTTCATAAACAATTTTTTCGAATATCTTGGGAACTGCCGAAAGAACTGAGATTGGTCTGTAATTTCCGCAATCTAGTTTACTTCCGGTTTTAAAGATTGGCGTAACTTTTTCAAATTTCATGTCATCAGGGAAAATACCAGTAGATAAAGACAAATTGAAAATGAATGTTAATGGTTCTGTGATAGAGTCACCTGCTAATTTTAGAAGCTTAATTGAAATATTATCAGTGCCTGTTGCTTTGGTAGCTTTCGATTTCTTTAATACGCTTTTCACTTTTGCTTTTGTAATACTTTTGAAGTTAAAATCAGCTGTCCCTACTGTCACGTATTTCAACGGGTCAACGTCAGTTGTACAGATGTTTTCAGCTAAGTTTGGTCCAATAGTAGCAAAATATTTGTTGAATTCATTAGCAATGTTTTTATCTCCTGTAACAACCTCATTATTCACAGATATCGCATTGAGAGTCGTTGTTTTGGACTTTTTGTTTAATAATTCGTTAATTGTTTTCCAGCTGTCAGCACTATTTTTAGAGTTTGCAAATTTGGTATTGTAGTAATTAGTTTTAGTTTTCTCTATCAGTCTAGTAACTTTGTTTTTGCATCTCTTGTATGCTTCGTGATAATAAGGGGAATTCAGATTAATTGCTTTCTTTTTTAGGTAATCCCTACGGTAGCACAATTCTTTAATTTCGTTTGTTAGCCAAGGTTTATACTCACTTTTGACCTTTTTACGTCTAATTGGCGCGTGTTTTTCGGAAATATTTAAAAATACTTCTTTCCAAATTTGCCAAGCTAAATTTGGGTCTGTATATAAATAATGGAAGTGTGTGTTTAGTGCTTGCTTTAAATCATCTTGAAATCGGACTTCATTGAAATGTTTAAATTGCCTTGTCTCTATTATTTTGGGCTTTCCCTTTGGGATGCTCACTTTTCGGCAAATATAGACAAGGCTATGATCGCTAATCCCAATATGGATGACTCCTGCGTCAATGGTTTTTGTATCCTCAATTTTCGTGAGATTAAATCGATTAAGGTTTTACTGGTTGTAGTTACTCTAGTCGGATCTTTAATGTGTTGTTGTAGTTGGTATATATCGATTAAGTCCTTAATTTTTGAGGTATGAGGGCTGTCATAAGTAGCTGATATATTACAGTTGAAATCACCGGTTATGATCAGATCTTGTCCCGTATCATCTGCTTTTTGTAAAAAGCTTTCAAATTTGTCAAATAGTATAGTATCAGAATTTGGTGGCCGGTACCAAGTTGAAACAAGGAATGGTTTAGTCTTTTGTTTTCTAATTTCTATACAAACTGCTTCAACATGGTCAGTGAGTAATTCCGATCGCTCTACATATGGTATATTATCTCTTAAGTATATAGCTACACCCCCACCATTTCGATTTCTATCCGATCTTATTAATTCATAGCCTGCGACCTCAACCTCTTCGCTATTAATAGTATCGTCTAGTCTGGTTTCATTTAAGGTTATAATATCAAAAGGTCGTTTGTGTAGTAAGATCCTAAGCTCCTCAATATGTTTGGTTAAGCTTACAATATTCAAGTGGCCCACCCTAAAGCCTTTTAGTTTTGAAAACGTATTCTCGCTAGTTTGTGATAATAGGTCATGACACGTTTCTCTGACATTTCGATTTTCAGGATTTAAAATAAGATTATTTTGAATGGTCGAATTGCATCGAGACTTTTCTGAAGATAGTTCAATATTGTCCTTATTCGTGCAATCTACTGTGGAACTCATATACTCAGGCAGTCAATATTTAAGTTTTAGAAAGTCACTAAGATTCTTAGCTAAGATTGCAGTTCCTTGTTTGTTCAGGTGGACACCATATGGGTTTAAGTGTTTGACTAAAATGTTTCCATGAGTTAGCAAATCCCATCTATTGCTTAGACATACCTGTGATAATTTTGAATTGACTTCTTTGACTTTTATCATGAGCTGAGGGTCATCATTTCTAACTATTACTTCAGATAAGATTAATTTCGTATTTGGCATATTCGCATTGATTTCATGTCCGAGCTTAGTTATCGATGTTGCTATTTGGCGAGGAGATTTTTGTCTTAAATCATTTGTACCAACGTGCAGAACTAGGTACTCAGGAGCGTGTGCTAGTGTTGGCTTTACGTAGTGCTCCATATCCGCAACCTTTGCTCCAGGGAAGGTTTTCACGTGGACATTTTGTTTCAAGCTTTTACTAAGTTTGGAGGGATTTATGTACTTTAACATTGAGTCACCGGCAACGGCTACGTTGATTGTACGCCTGGGTTGGTTGCCCGAATTATAAGTACGGGGACTAGTCTCCGATGACGCTTTGGTTTGGTCTTCATTAGTAGAAACTTCTCGGCTAGTCTTGGGTCGCATCTCCCTGGACGTTTGAGTTGTTTCACTTTGTTGTTCTGCGGTATTATATTGGTCTTCTCCAATGATTCAATCTAGGATTCAATTTAGGATTCAATCTAGGATTCAAGCTAGGATTCAATGATTCAATCTAGGATTCAATGATTCATTCAATGATTCAATCTATAATTCAATGATTCAATCTAGGATTCAATGATTCATTCAATGATTCACTCTATGATTCAATGATTCACTCTATGATTCAATGATTCACTCTATGATTCAATGATTCAATCCATGATTCAGTGATTCACTCGATGATTCAATGATTCACTCTAGGAACTCACTGATTCACTCTATGCAATGACTCAATCTAGAATTCAATCCATATTCGCAAAAACGTTTTTAAAATCATGTTCCTCTAGTAAATGAACCATTTAAGCTCCAATTCTTGAAGAGAGATGACGTGCTTTGATGTGTACAGGCCTTTTGTAGAGCTCTTATGTACTTCTCATCCAACTCAACAGCACGCTCTTCTTAATTCTGCATCAGCTGAGCAAACTCATTGTATAGAAAATGTCACATATTCTAAAGAAATAAAGGACAAACTCAGACCTTTCAAACAAGATCTAGCTGATTTAGCGAACAGAACTAGAAGTTTTAGAACGAAAAAGGAAATTCTTGTTCAGCGGACAAGTGGCTTTCTGGAATTGGTACCTGGACCACCTTGCAGAATTAGTATAAACTAATATGCATGAAGGGCATCTCCTCATCCAATCATGGATAGCGACAAACGAGCATCTCCTGAACAGTAAAGACTTGAAGACATTCTCAAATATATTTACGTTGATGATGAACACGAAGCCAAAGAAATCCTTCATTCTATTTTAACCTCTACGGGGATTTTGACTTGGAATGTAAAAGGAGAAATCGTTTACAGAGGACATAATATACGAGGAACTGACATTGTAGACCTTCTGAAATATTGTGTGACGCCTTATCATCCAGATATTCCCGAAACAACTGGATTGAGTATTTTTATAAAAGGTCTTGCAAAATTGGAAATTGATAAAAGTCTGATCGTAAATGGCCGTGTCCTTACAATGCTAACCCACAAGCAGTCACTACATGATGTGGATACACAGTCTGATAAATCCGAAGATGAGTCTGAAGACGTGGACACAACTTGTAACAGTTGTAACAAAGATTTACACATCTCCCATTTGGGTACATGCCCTGTATGCGCATGGACAGAACTTATATACCAACGGTATGGGATAAATTACTAAATTAATTAAAATAAAACGATAAAAATTACGACGCTATTGTTGAACAAAATCATGATGGCTATTTAAACCCCCTTGATTAGTAAGCAACATGCATACCAATCCAGAAGTTTTCCCTCTCCCTCAAATTGTCATCACGCTGATCAATAAGCATGATAAATTTCAAAGTGGAGTTATCAGCATTATGACAATCTAAAAAGTGATTAACAATACTTGCAGTATTGTATTTTAGTATTGTTAATCACTTTTTATTGTAGTATTGTTAATCATGATTTTGTTCAATAGCGCCGTAATAGACCTTTCTTACAAGTATGGCGTCAGCGTGCATAAGCTATTTTGTGACGTCAAACGCGGATAAGGGGGGGCCATTCACAAAGGATATCCGAGCCGAGGGAGGGGGAGGGGGTTTGGAAAATCAGGACAAATTCGGACATAGGGGGGGGGGTAGCAATCCGGATGTCCGAAATTTAAAAAAATTCAAAAACAAATTTCTTTTTCCTCTATTATGAACTCTCCTTCCCATCGATGAAATTGGCATTTTGACTATGCGGTTAATACTAGATTTTGTTTTAATTAGTAATTTATATGTTTTTGTATTCACATTTATAGTTATAAAACTAGTTCTAAAAGTTAAAAAAGTTTTTTACTCTTGACATATACAAGGTTGCGTGAGTTTTTGCGAGGCATGGCGGATGTCCGGGGGGAGGGGGTCACTAATTCGGACAATGCCGGACAAGGGTGGGGGGAGGCGGTCTGAAAATCCATCATTTGGCCGGACATCCTTTGCGAATGGCCCCTAAACACTTCGTCTTCGATTTTCTTGTTTGTTTTGTTTCGAAAGTTTTTCTCCAGGAAAACCCTACAAAAGCGGTAGGTTTTGCTAATTTTATTTATTTAAATCAATTAATAGGTAAGATGTGATGTGTTCAATGAATGTTGATTATTTATAGTGTATATTTCCCTCTTGAACGTTGTCAAAGTGACTGAAAAATAAAGCAGTAATGGCTACGGATACTAAGACGACAGATTGTCTCACTATTTTATTTTCGATTTTATGTCCCTGTTTTACGGATTTTTAAACTACTTTTTGTGTTTTATTAAAAGTCAACAGTCAAATTATCCTACATAAGACATGCCATACTGCAAATCCTCTGGAAATTGTTATAATTCGGCCTCTAAAAAGAAAATATCCTTCATAAACTTCATATTCTGACTGGCTCATTTCGGCACTTCAGCCCCCAATCAACTCTAACTACACTCCACATTATAAAAAACATTTGTTCACATTCATATTTATATTGTAATAACATTCACTATTATGTCAAAGGGACTGAAAAACAAAGCAGTAATGGCTACGTATACTATAAGACGAGAGATTGTCTCAGTATTTTATTTTCGATTTTATGTCCCTGTTTTACGGATTTTTAAACTATTTTTTGTGTTTTATTAAAAGTCAACAGTTATGCATTCATACATATTAAGACATGCCATACTGCAAATCCTCTGAAAATTGTAACGGCTTCTAAGAAGAAAATGGTCATCACAAACTTCATATTCTGGCTGGCTTATTTTCTCTTCAGATGGCACTTCAGCTTTGAATCAACATGAGCACAGATTTGTTTAATTAACATCACTGATTTGGGAATACGACGAACATCGGCCATAAGTATATGTTTACTTTTTGTTATAATAAATGTTGCATGAACAACTACCAAAATACAAAGAAAACTTTTGCTGTATAGTGCAGAGCCATAGGACTGAAGTTTATAAAATCAGCAGAGAATATGGTCATTTTTTCTACAAGATATGGAGTGATTGAATTTTACAGTTATTACATAAGATAACAATAAGATTGAATAATACAGTAATAATAAATGTTATTACAATATAAATATGAATGTGAACAAATGTTTTTTATAATGTGGAGTGTAGTTAGAGTTGATTGAGGGCTGAAGTGCCGAAATGAGCCAGTCAGAATATGAAGTTTATGAAGGATATTTTCTTTTTAGAGGTCGAATTATAACAATTTCCAGAGGATTTGCAGTATGGCATGTCTTATGTAGGATAATTTGACTGTTGACTTTTAATAAAACACAAAAAGTAGTTTAAAAATCCGTAAAATAGGGACATAAAATCGAAAATAAAATAGTGAGACAATCTGTCGTCTTAGTATCCGTAGCCATTACTGCTTTGTTTTTCAGTCACTTTGACAACGTTCAAGAGGGAAATATACACTAAATTTTGATTTAAATAAATAAAATTAGCAAAACCTACCGCTTTTGTGGGGTATTCCTGGAGAAAAGCGTTCAAAACAAAACAAACAAGAAAATCGAAGACGAAATGTTTATCCGCATTTGACGTCACAAAATAGTAGTGTGACCAGACTTTTTCAGCAGTCATTACCAAAATTTTGTTCAAATTTTACTAAATTAAGAAACATTTTACCAAATGTCGGCTTCCCAAATAATTATTATTATTATTATTATTATTTTAAAATATTTTAAAACGGTAGCTCTTCAGGGCTCGTAGGCACCTGTTTTTCAAGAGGCCATTTATTACAGTATTTACAAGCTATATAAATATAATAACACAAATATACACACAAAAACAGAGAAAACATAACGAACTTAATAATTGCATGCACTACATTTGTATCTAAAAATATCCTATCATATTTAAATATTTACAAAGTTACCAAAAGGAATCAAGTGCCGTCAAGAATACGTTTAAATTTGTTAAGGCTAATGCCTTTTTCTTTTGCTGTAGTTGATAAGTCATTCCAAAGGGATGCAGCTGAATAACTGAAGCTCTTTTTCATAAAATTTGTTTCAGGTTTTCCAAGATCATAGTTGTTATTGTTACTTCTCAAATTCATTAATAATTCATGAGTAATTCAGCCAATGATAATCACCTATTTGATCACAAGATGCCATTTGGATACTTGATGAAAGTCACTAGTGTTTTCATCAAATATCTTTAGTTACGCATGCAAAATTACTTGAATAGAATTCCTAATTACGTTATGCTTGGTTAAGAATTCTATTCAAATCAGCAAACGAAAACATTCTGTTACGTCTCGATTCATTTGAGAAGCCATATAAACAACTCGAGCTCGTGTCTCACCGGGATATCCAAACACTCGAAAACAATGTGTGAAAACACTCGCGCTTCGCGCTCGTGTTCTCATACATTGTTTTCTCGTGTTTGGATATCCCGGTGAAACACTCGCTCTCGTTGTTCATATATTACTTCTTAAATCATATCTGTCATTTATTTTAATTTTGAACATGTTGCAAATTGATGATGGCATTTTTTCGTTTCGTATTCTGTGCATAAAAATCGATTTATTGGTTTTATAGCGTTGGTTTAAAGGTTGCCAGTCTAATTCTTTTAAAACATCCTCAGAACTAACTTCATAAGTTTTACCAGTGATGATTCGGGCCGCTCTGTTTTGTAATTTCTGAAGTCTGTTTTTTAAGTAATCACAACAGTTATCCCAAACCAAGCTACAATAATCAAAATGTGATAGCACAATGGCACTATATATATTTTTACTAAGGTTGATTTGGGAACAAACTGTTTTATTCGTCGCATCATTCCTATTCCTTTTGAAGCTTTTGTGACAATATTTTGGATTTGATGATTCCATAAAAGATGTTCATCAATAATTACGCCTAAAGTTTTTGATTTGTGAACCCGTTTAATGACTGATTCACCAAGTTCAATTTTAGGGTCCGT